ACGGAGAGGGCAGGGCTGTGCTGGAACAGCCCGGGGGCACCCAGGCCTGCCCAGCCCATGGGGGTCTCTCACTGCTGAGGAATGAATCCCAGTTTTGGGGCAACATCAGGAGTGCCAGGAAGCTGCAGAGGCAGGACGCGCACATTCCAAATCTTTGTTTGTTTGATTACGAATAAGAGGCAGAAGATTGCAAGCACTGTAGTTAACTTTATTGATCATTACTGAAAAGGAGTTAGTAGAGGTTAAGTGCCAAGAGGCAGCTGTTCCTTCAGGTGCCCCGGCCCTGTCACAGACCCAAAACACTGCTGAGCCTCTTGCTGGGGCTCCCTCGAGGGCCTGGGTGCAGCTTGTTTTCAACAAGGACAGTTTTGTTTGTACTGTGCGTGGGCTCAGCCCTTCTCCCTAACGGCAGCTTCTCAAGAGAAGTCAGCACAGAGGCTGAAAAGCAGCTCAGCTCCATCCAGGGTAAGATCTCAATGCCTGAACCCTTCTAGGACTGGAGTGTTAAAGCACAGATAACAGCAGAGCAGATTAGGTTAAATTACAAATTGTTTTTGATACAAAAACATAAAATATCCCCTATTAGCATTAAGAAGGCATCCAAGTTTTAATACTCTTATTATAAAATTGTACCAGCATTTTTACTGAAAACGATATAGATCTTGTATATATTTAGTTTTGGTTCTGTTCTCGACAAGCAGTTGTGTGGCTGCTACCAAACCCCAACCGCAGTTTGATGAACCTCAGTACAAACCACATGCATCACAAATACATAAATAGATCTAAATGACCCAGTATAAAAAATACATCCTATGCAAGAACCTCAGGTATACTAAAAATCCCAGAACGGTTTGGTTTGGAAGGGACCTTAAAGAGTCCCAACCCCACCTGCCACAGGCAGGGACACCTTCCACTAGAATCAACCTGTTTGTGAAAATTCAGACTTAATACATCTGTTCTCCCTGAAAGCAAAGGTGGCTACTAAAATGTGGCAAAAGCAGTAGACAGGAGCAGAAAAAATACTGCAGAATTCTTGTCTGACTTATTGCTACATGTAGATTACATCAAGAGTAATCCGTTTTTTCCTAATCCTTGAAAGGTCAAATTGTGTATGGAATTCTGAACAGAGTAAAGAAAAAAAGCACTTTTTATAAAAATAGCATCAATTTAAGTTAGATAAATCCTTATAAATACAAGAAAGAAACGAGTTACTCTATAAAACATTAATTGAGAGCATATGTTCCTGAAGCACCAGCATCACATCCCCAGGTTAAGGACCTCAGTGAGGTGTTTACCCACACAGTGTTCATTCCCCTGCGCTGCCAGAGCTGCCCAGGCAGCTCCAGCAGCTCTGGGCTCTGAACCCCTCTCCTGTGGAAAGGAAAGAGTTTGGGCCAGCCCTGCCCCAGTGCAGAGATCACACGGAGCCCCAGCAGTTTCAGCTACACACCGGTGTGAGGGTGAGAGGCAAAGATCCCATCTATGACTTGGAGTCACGCTACACCTACCAAGTGCTGCAGCTGTGTGACAGCAACAAAACCTGCACTCTTCTGCACCTCTATTAAGTGTCAGCTTGCAGAACTTCATGACACAAACTGACTCTTTTGTGGCAGAGGAAGCAGGGAGGATCTGAGGGGTTTTTTTTTTTAAAAAAAAAACAGTTTGAAAAGCTATTAAAACATAAAAGGATTAGAAACTTTAACATTTTTAGTGTTTGTAGCATTACAACTTTGGTGTTCAGATCTAGCAAATCAGTATATGCATGTAATCAGCATCATCAAGACAGGTGTTCTATAATGAAAAACACTAATTCCATTTTCAGTGGCAGAGCTGTAGGATCTGACATTCCACTGTGAATCACAGGAATCAGAGCATTGTCCAAGTCGTTCAGGTAGTTCTGTGGGAGAAGGTGCCCTCCAGATCCTGCTAAGTATTCAACCTAGGAGGGAAACATACTGATATTAATTAACACTTCTTGTATTAACATTATATGCAAAACATGCTGCATCACCGTAAAAGAGTATTTCATCTACCATGAAGTGAGAAATTAATGACTAAGACAGCTTCTGCCCCAAATGTCATCCTCAGGATCTTGGGTAGGGCAAAACTCTAAACCTTCATGGAGAGATCCAAGGTATTTCCAAGGGAAGGCACTTCAGTGGAAATGGAGTGTGTGCAATAAAAGTTGAAAGCTTACCATGTCTGGGTCGATGGAAACTCTGAGTCCTATCTTATTCATCCCGTTATTTTTCAAGGTTTTAAGGTGAGGGCAAAGAGCAGTGCTGCAGGCAATGGCAACCTCTCTTGCAAACTGGTGGGGAACAGCACTGGAGGGTTCTTGATCCTTTGCAAAATGGTAAACCTGAGATCAGAGAAAGGGAGGGGCAGTCAGCAGCCTGGTACATCCCAAAGTTAGGAAAAAGAGTATTTCAGGATCACATAACACCAAACAGGGCAAGCTTTGGTGCTTGTCTGCTGCAAAAGCACCCGAGTATTTCATCCACACAACCAAAATACTTCAGGAACCATGGGAATGCCTGCATTAGGCATTTGCAGAGCTGTCACTGGCAACAGACTTGAGTCTTGTTCAAAAAATTACAAGTGTGTAAACTCACCAAGAGCTGCAGAGGACATTCTGCCTGGCAGCACGGCTACACATAAAGTCAGCTCATTTTAACAGCTTCACTTAGTACCATCACATTACCACTTAAATATTCCATAAGTAATAAAAAAGGCTCAAGAACTATATAATTCACTAACTTCAGTGCACTTCATAACTTTTCCCTCTCTTTCGAAGTCTCTGTATTGTGGTGCTTTCTCACTCTGAGTTCCTTCCATTGATACTCCATCAACTGGGCTCAAAATTCTATGGAAAACAATAGTGTGATTAGCAATTTAAACAACACTTATAGTTTAGATACAGTAACTTCTATGCAATGGTGTTTACCCATCCTTTAAGGCTATTTAAACACACCTTAACAACAAAGTACAATACAGGACTTGCACTATGAAAATACAGATGGTACAAAAGGAAATATCCTAAACAGGGAACTAACAGCATTAATAG